TATATATATAAGAAATATAAGGGAAGTAGAGATCAGTGGAAATGGATAAGTACATAATTAACTTCAAATTCTAGAATTTTGTGCGCACTTCTGTCGGTAAGTTTCTTTTCCATAGATAGGTTGTTCTTAAGGTATATTGAGGATTGCTTACCGACTTGTATTGAGGTGAGGAACTAGGCCATGTTTCCTGAAGGGACAGTGATGCTTGGGTATACAGAATGGGATAGAAGAGAAAATCATTCTTCTGGGCAAGGGATTGCTCTTCTTTCCGTTTCCTGATTATGCTAATGAAATTTTATCATCCCCCCAGATCAGCCCGACTTGAAGCCCCAGTCTTATCAGTATAATGTTATATAGTATGATATAGTAGACATAATATATGAGTGCTGCCAATTCTTGCTTCTGTAACTTTTGGGTAAGTTTCTTAACGTCTCTGTGTCTCATCTGTAAAATGAAGATAAAAAATACTCCGACTACACAGAGTTGTTGTGACAATTAAAGAGATACTAGTTGTTAGTGCATAGGAAATACTGTGTAGCTATTAACATTAGTTCTCTCTCCATTCCCTTTGTCCCCTGTGTGTGGCATTTGCCAACCAGCATAAATTTTGTTTCTTTTTCTCCATTAGTGGAAATGTCATTTTCTAGTTCAAGCTCTCATTAATTTTTCACCATCTAGTTATTACAGAAATCTTCCCATTGATTTCCCTAACCACTGTCTTCCCATAGTCTTGATTTACATTAAACCCTTTTCTCTCAATCCCAAAATGTTCATTTTTTTTTTTTACCATTCCTCATTTTGTTTTCTCCTACTAGCATATCTTTTCCTCTATTTTTCCTAACTGGTCAGTAATCTCTTTGAACTCTATTTTCAACTTTCAACTTCAGTTTACTAGTTTTCTCTTTGTGTCTACAGGTCATGTGACACAAACTTCAGTCAAGTAGTTAAAATTATTATTTACTTCTTAATTTTAAAATTTTGAGTTGAAATATAAAATAAATACATATAAAATACACATACCTATGTGTACAGATCTTTGAAATACGAACACATTCACGTAACTACTATGCCAGTCAAGAAATAGAATGTTGCCAGCAATCCAGAAACCCCTGGCATCCCATCCAAATCACTACATCTTCTTTCTTCTCCAAAAATAGTTACTATTTAAATTTCAAAATACTATATTAGTATTTCCTGGTTTTAAAACTTTGTTTAAATAGAATCACACAATCGCTCTCCTTTTGTGACAGTGAGAATCACTGATGTTCTTCTGTGTAGATGTAATTTGGCCATTTGCATTGCTGTGTAGTGTTACACTTTATGAATATATCACAGTTTGCCACTCTACTGTTGATGGACATTTGATTGTTCAAGTTTTAGGCTATTACAGTAAGTCACTGTGAATATTTTGGTGCACATGTGCACTTTTTCTGTTGGGTATATACCTAGGATTGAGATTGCTGGAGTATACAATCCACATATTTTCAGCCTTGTTAAATAAGGCTAAATGTTTTTCCAGTGTGTGCCAGTTTGTTCTTATCAGTAATATAAGAGAGTTACTCTTGCTCCATAAGTATGCTAACAATTGGTGATGTTAGCCTTTTTTTGATGTATATATAAGTATTATTGAAGTATAGTCAGTTTACAATGTTGTGTCAGTTTCTGGTCTAGAGCATTATGCTTCAGTCATACATGAATGATGTTAGCCTTTTTAAATTTTAACCATTCTGGAAGGGGTATAGTGGTATCTCATTGTGATTTTAATTTGATTTTCCTTGTTAACTAATAATTTGGAAAACTTTTTCATATGCTAATTGGCCACATAGATATTCTCTTTTGTGAAATGTCTATTCAAAAGTCTTTTCCCCATTTTTCTATTAGGCTGTGTGTCTTTTTTCACTAATTTGCAAGCACTCTTTATATATTTTGGATGTAAGTCCTATGTGTGATATATGTATTGCAGATATTTTCTCCCAGTACGTAGCTTGTAATTCGATGTCTTTGGACTTATAAAGTTCTTAACTTTAATGTAATGAAATCTTTTCCTTTATTATTAGGGCCTTCTGTCGCCAGCCTATGCTGGCTGAGTTTCCCCACATTCTCTTCCTTGTAATTCTTTAAACTTTCTTTTTTCTACTCTTTGCATGTAAACCTCTAAATTTGCCTCTTAGTCATAACTTTAGTTGCAACCTACAAGTTGCAGTACAGTGTTTTCTTTATCATATAGTTCAAAATAGTTTCTGGAGGGGAGCTCAGTGGTAGAGCACATGCTTAGCATGCACAGGGTCCTGGGTTCAATTCCCAGTGCCTCTATTAAACAACACCACCTAATAATAATAATAAACAAACAAACAAACCAACCTAATGACCTCCCCCACAAGAAAAATTTTAAAAATATTTTCTAATTATCATTATTAATTTTTTCTTTGGCTCATAGGATGGTTAGAAAAGTATTTAAAAATTCCAAAGAGCATTCTAAATTTTAAATGCTTATTATCAGTTGCTTTTTAAGGATAAAAAGCTGGCAGTTTATTAAAACCCTGATGTATCTACATAATAGCAGTAGATAGGAGTCATTAATATTTGTCGATGTGGTTGAAGTAAAGAAATCTTCACAGGTAACAAGGAAAAAGTATAGGTAACCCTTCCCTAAACGGTGACCAAATTAATGTGGAAATGCGTTGTGAATTGCTTTCACAGTATGTGTTTTGTGTTGCCTCTCCCACAGGAGTACCAGTTCATGATAGGACTCAGTAATGCCATGCTCTGGGCTGCTTATTTTGTCACGTTCCTCTTGTTGTTTTTAATTGTCATCTGCTTGCTATGCGTGATTTTATTTGTCAAGGCAAGTATCTATTTGAACGCAGCATGCTTCAGCTAAAACTCTGAGGGGAGGGGGAGCATGATAGTGGGTGTGGGCTGCCTTAGGTGAGAAATGAATTATAGAGTTAACTTCTCATCTCCCTGTTACACTAAGGCTACTCAAATATTTTAAGGATATTTTCCTCCACCTCCCTAGTTTTTCTCTGACACCACTTCCATGATGACTAAATGGACTTCACAATTGTTTTGTTAGATTGTACAGGATAAAGTCCTCCAATACAGTGACCCGTCTCTCGTCTTCTTCTTTTTCCTGTGTTTTGTCATGGCTTCCATGACCTTCGGCTTTCTGATTACCACATTCTTCGATAAAAGTGAGTCTAAGACTTCTTCATGAAAGATTTTTCAGTGTTTCCGTGGACTGAAAGAGGATTTTATTTGGGAGCCCCTTCTAAACTTCAGTTGCCGCTTCATATAGAGACTCTGCTTACATTCTAAATTTGTTTAAAAAGACATCTGTGCATGTGAAATGATTTGAGGAGGGCAAAGATTAGTGAAGATTAACGTGGCCTAGGATGTGTGTGAAAATGGGATCAAAATCAAAATAAGATCACACGCTACAAGAAGATATAAACTAACATAGGGTCATGTGAAAATACGTATTTATTCATTCACTCACTCAGTGAAGTCTTTGGATCACTTATTACATACCTGGAACAATGTCAAATAAACAAAATCCAACTGAGAATCTCCTGCCCTGTTCTCACTTACTAGAGGGATGTGTGACCGAACAAATTTAAACTGGCTTAGTTACGGAATTTGTAGAATTACTTTTCCAGTGGTCATTTTCTGTTATCATTTATTTTAAAAAAATAAGTGTATTTCCTTTTCCAGAAAACAAAACACCATTTTTCCCCTTTTTACATCTTTCTTATGTGCTGAACAATTAGAATGCTAGCTTCTTTCAGTCATTTAGAGCACAAGTACCATAAAACAAGCGTTTTCTGGTAAGGAAATGTACATTTCATAGGTATTTTTTATTGTTTTCAGCAATAACGCTGCTATCAGCTGGCTGCATCATAAAGCCCACCTACCATAAGCACAGTGAAACTGTGAGTGGAGAGAGTTATTTTGTCAAAGTCAGGCTGAAGGTGATATGCTTGAGAGTAATGTCAAGTAGGCAAATACTGATGGACGACTCACTTGACTAAAACAACTATGATACTGATTAAATGTTTTGAAATAATTTTTTTCTCTTTATAAACACTGCTGAGGTCGCACAAAGACCAGAAACTGAGTGGGAGGCGATTGAAAGCCAAAGCTAGCTTTTGTCCTGGGATTTTCTGTTGAACATCCGAGATTTGGGGGGGTTTTCTATCAGCGGTGCAGGGAACTAAGATAAGCCCAGAGCCTGCCGAGGGTGGAATATTTAAGAGGACACCACAAATAAGGGTAGGACGTCAGAGAGTCACCATTGCAAGGGAGACTGAGGAATAAAGGTGCCACACAGAAGGAACAGCAAGTTCTTCCCTTAGTTAAATTCACCAATTTATTAAGATTGTGGTTTATGTGAGAAGGCCATCAGTAAATGCAATCAGCAGGTAGATTTCAAGTTTTATAGCAGAAGACTAGTGAATTGTGTCAAATTTTATATTTCATAAGTTATGTAAATGCTTCTTTATCCCTCTAGCCATCTACCTACGTATCTGTGGTTTTTCCTTTGTTTTTTGTGACTTCCTGTTTTGGTTACCTTTTTCCCTAAATCATAAAACTATATGTATTTAGGTTAGGGGCACTAGCATCCCTAGATTAGGGGTTGGTAATCCTAATCCAATAAGGATTTGCAGTGACTAAAAAATATCTCTTTCAGGTGAGCCTGATTTTAGATGTAGCCTTTTAGGGCCTTAAGTAAAAGTCTGAGGTATTAATCATGGCTTCTTTCCATGATTAGGATGGAAAGAAGTACGTGTCAAACTTGTTTTGTTTCCCTAAACCCTTGACAGTGTCAGAAGCTCTGCTCGGTTTCTCAAACCTCTAAATCATAGTTTAGATTTTGCAACTGCTTCAGGGTGAAAATCAGGACCAAATTCTAGACTCACCTTTTTGTACTTCTTATCTTGATATTGGCACTGTGAATTGTCCTTGCCTGTTAGCTCTCTCATGCTTCAAAACATACTAAAAAAAATAATTTGTCTAGGTTTTTCTGTTGTCATTGAGAGAGTCGCTCTCAAGTGATGCAGTTCCTTTGATATATAGCATCCTAATCCAGATGCTTCTCTGTAATGGTGACTTTGTTGTCTGTCCTTTTAATGTTTTATTTTATAAAGTATCATAAATAAATATTTGGAATATTATAAATAAGACTGGAAGTACGTATAAAACCAGTATTCATTTTCTCAGTTTTCATCGACCAAAATTCCAAAATAAATGGTAACAATGTAGTTATGTTCATATGATGCGATTAGTGATGATGTAGATCTAGAGGTTGTTAAGCTAAGTGGTTATAGATAAAAATGAAAAAGCAAGTTTTTATAACCATAAGGATCAGTCCTTCTTTAAATGAGTAAATATCCACAACCGTTGCATAAGAAAGGGTAAATTCCAGAAAAGTTCCTTCCTCATACTATTCATTCATTCATTTACTCATTCAAGCAAAGAAATATTTATTAAACGCCTGCTCTGTGTTAAGCACTGCTGGATGCTGGTGATACAGTGGTGAACAAGACAGTTTCTCTTCTTTTGTAGAGTTTATATTTCAGGGCTCTTTTGTAGTAAAATGAGGGTATTTCTATTTCCAGCTTTTGTAGCTTATGTAAACTGACTGTATTTTCCTTCTTACTTTTCAGCTACATTGGCTGTTTCCATTGGAGTTTTCCTCTATTTTCTCACCTTCTTTCCATATGACATAGTCATCACCGTGTATAGCAGGTTGAGCCTCATGGAGAAGCTGGCTTCCTGTCTCTTTTCAAATATTGCAGTAGCGTTGGGGATTGAGTTTTTAAGCAAGATGGAAATGAAGAGTGAGTCTTTTCTTTGTACAATTTACTTGGATGATTTGATTCCTAGGAGGAAAAGACAGATGATCTGGGGTTGGCAGTAGAGTTAGTAGGATAGTGGGTGTGGGGTAACTTGAGTGTTTCTAAAATATTTTTCCTGGTTTGTAGTACTTTTTATCATAAAAATGATATCTATGCACTATAAATATATGCACTATATCTGCATATATATACATGAAAATATGCACATGTAAATATTTAGTTACTTATTTTCATGTTCTTTATATCAGTGGTCTCACCTAGGAGAGAATTTTGCCACCTAGGGGATATTGGCAATGCCTGGACATATTTCTGTTTTTTAATTGTCATAACCGATGGAGGAGTTCTACTGGTACATAGTGGTTAGCAGTCAGAGATGCTACTACATATACTACAAAGTACAGAACTTCCCCTGATAGAATTGTCCAGCTCCAAATGTCAACGGTGCCAAGGTTGAGACACTCTGTTCAATATCTATATATTAAAATCTACGAGTTCACACTATAACATCTAGTTCCAATATAACATCAGAATTTCTTCCTAGCTTTCTCCTATTCCATATTTATTTCCCTTTCCAACCATGAGAATCCTGGCTCCCACCGTTATCAGTATAATTTCTCGTTTGCTCATTTTTGCAATACTTATAAAATGAGTGAACTGCTAATCTGCTCCACTGTAAACAACTAACATACTAAGTGTGGTAATTGTTTGTAATTCTTTTTACATTTAGTCTGAATCTAGGTAGTCAAAGTTATGTGTTCAAAAATCACTTGTGATCTAGGATTGCTGGGATTCAGGAATGAAATTAACTATAATCACCACATTATACATTATGTCTGCAGAATTTATGCATCTTATAACTGAAAGTTTGCATCCTTTGACCAACATCTTCCCATTTCCCTCACCCTCCAGCCCCTGGCACTCACTGTTTTACTCTCTGGTTCTATGAGTTCAACTTTTCAAGATAAAAAATAAGTGAGATCATACAATACTTGTCTTTCTGTGTCTGACTTATTTCATTTAGCATAATGTGTCCTCCAAACTCATCCATATTGTTGCAAATGGTGGGATTTCCTTCTTTTTTGTGGCTGAATAATATTCTATTGTATATATGTACCACTATTTATTCACTTATCTATTGATGAACACTTAGATTGATTCCATATCTTGGCTACTGTGAATAATGCTGCAGTGAACATGGAAATGCAGATAGCTCTTCAAGGTCCTATTTTCTTTTTTCTTTTCTGGAGATATACCTCAGAGGGGGATTGCTGGATTATGTTTTAAATTTTCCGGGAAACTTTATACTGTTTTCCATAGTGTCTATACCAGGGCCAAGAAAATAATACTTAGGAGAGGGATGTTATTTTAACATAAACAGTATAATGGACCAAAATGGAAAGTTTGTCTACATTAAAGTAAATTGGAGTTCAGTTCATGTATCTTGATATAATTAAATCATAATTAAACTTAAGTAGGAACTAATAATTCTGTATACATTTTCACTGTTTTACTTGGAGCTTTTATTGCATTTATTCTAAATGCAAGTGCACACAGTATAGGGATATACCAAGGCTGCTTCTCTGGCATTATTACTTATTAAAAGAGCTCAGCAAGTAGTTATCATCAATAAAATAGTCTAAAGCTGCCTCTAAATTTAACATTGTAGGCATTTTCAAGGAAATTGTTGGTATGAATGAAGAAACAACATATAGTATGCTTCTCTTGTCTTTGAGTACTTGTTTATCCCATTAAAAAGGAGTCCACATATAATACAAAAATAGAAAAAAACAAATGAACAACCCTAAGCCATTCTATAACAGAGCTAACAAAGTATATGTGGTCAGAGATTCCATAAAATATTTGAAGATGCATTTACTTTACTTCGATGGGAAACGTAGGAAATATTTGAGAGGTCATTGTTTTGAGAGGCCATTGTTCAATGTATACACTTAACAAACACTGTATTATAGTACTAATAAGCAATTCTGTATTAAGATCAGTTCAAATTAGATTTCACAAGTTAGTATTGCTTTTACAAATGTTTTGACAATGCTACAGAAAGTACATCTTAGTTTCCATTTTCATACAGGGTAATTTTTTAATGTTTATACCTTTTAAAAATTAAAAGCAGCTAAATATTAAGCAATATATATTAAAATTTTGGTGATAGTTTGTATTTTAAAAGAAACAGCTTCCTTATGATTTGCCTAAAGTTTTAATAACAATATAAAGAGAAGCTCATTCAATATACTGATTTACTTTGGTAGAAAATGGCTGTTCTTTGAAGACACAACCCATTAAGGTGAAGTGGGCTGTTTCAAATACTTAATAATTTACAAAAATTTTTTAAATATATTTTTAAGGAGCTAAGCATCTGTATCCACTGATACCAATGCAATACCTACTTTAAGATCACTTGAAACAAAACAAATGCCCTTAAGGGAAAAAAGTCGTATTTTAATTTTATTTGTTTACTTTTAGTCAACAGTCCAATAGCATTTTCCTCTCAAACAATACTTTCTCCCTATAAGGCAGTTCCTGGGAGTCAAACAGTTAAGCTAATAAGGGAGTTAAGGTAAAGAGTAATTGCTTGCTGTTTAAATAGACAGTAACTTTTTGCTTCCCACTTATAGGACGTTAGTAATATAGAGGTAAGGTGGAGCAGGAGAGGAAGCATTCTGCAGTCTTCTGATTAGGCTTCAATCTTTTGATGAGCTTGAGTCCCTGAACTATGCACTCATCAGTGCTGCTCAGCTCCCCTCCCCCCACACCCTTAGAAGGGACAGGGTGACGACAGAGGCTGAACTTGGGTATTTCCCTTCCCCTAGCTGGGTAGGTTAGGGTCTGGTGAAATAATTTCTTGTGAGGCAGGCTTGGTTAAGAACGGAATGCTCTGGCACATTTCAAAATGTTCCTTTTCGCTTTCCCCTCCTGGAAGCATGAGGAAAATTTTCTGATACTCACTGTGACGAACTGGTAGGGATCCTAGAAGTAAAACTCAGAAATACGTGGACTTGCAAGTTCCCTGTGACTTGATCCTCCTGGAGTTTTTAACTCTTCCAACTTGTCCAAACTGGGACCCAGCAATTCATCAATTACAGTTTAGGTTTTTATACCCAATACTAGTTTGCTTAGAGGTTTCTACTGAGAATGCCTGTTCCATTAAATTGTAGTTGTATGTATTTTCCTATCTGCCTTTCCAGTTTTAGGGGGCAGTGGTTTGCCCTGTGACCTCAGTTACCTGATGGACCTGATAAGAGTTGTAGATTTTTCCGTGCAGCTTCTTGCTTGTTATTAGGATGGAGAGGTGACTTGGAAGTTGTTTACATTTCAGACCAGAAACTGGAAGCTGAACCTTATTATTTTATACTGATGATTACATTTCCAAACTTATGTATCTTGCTGGTTATTTCAGTGGAAATTAACAGAAGAGAGAATGGAGAGATAGGGCTACCATCTCAACCAATAGGACTGCCTACTGCTCCAAGGCTTACTTTATGGACTTCTGATGATTGTTTAGTTTTGTTTCAGTCATCCACTAACCTTTAGTTTGATTTGGCTCTAGGCAGAGGCACCTTGTATTATCACTTCATTATCTTTTTGGACAACCTAAATTTTAAAGAATCAGAAAATAGTAAATGACAGTATCTGTCTCCAGTACCAGTGCATCTTTCTTCATTGTTAAATTATAAAGCAGGTGGGTAACTTTGCTCTAGTTACAGTTGGGCACCGGAAGTAACTATCTCTTATTCTATTTCAGAGTATGGTGTTAAGTGGAGTAACTTACTGTCATCAGTGAGCCCAGATGATAACTTGACTTTTGCCCATATTCTGGGAGTACTTTTATTTGATGCTTTCTTGTATGGCCTTCTGACCTGGTATATAGATGCTGTCTTTCCAGGAAAGTATGGTGTGCCCAAACCATGGTATTTCTTTTTGCAGGTAAGTACCAATGTTTCTGTTATTGAGAGAAACCCCAGTTCTTACGTATTTAGTTTGTTTTTAACACCTCCCTACAATCTTATGGTACTAAAACAGTTTTTATTTCTTCTCAACTAAAGCCATTATGAGCTAACTTTATGACGTGTGTAATAGAATTAAATGGTTTTCTACCAAAAAAATCGACATCTGAATGAAAATATGGTAGGGTCCTTAGATCTTAATGAGGAGGGAACAAGTTATAGCTGATACCTGGTTTACCACTGTCTGCTTTTTTCCTACTGTTAGCCCACATTACTTAGACTCAAAGCCATGGCAAAGTGGGGAGCATCTGTATCTTGGCCTCTGTTTTCTATCCTCTTCCTAATCATTCTGTGGTTCAAAGCACATAGTTCCCAAACTCTGGTCTCAGAACTCTACTATCTTAAAAATCATTGAGCACCTCAAGGAACTTTAGTTTTTTAATGTGGATTATATCTATCAATGTTTACTGTATTTGGAAATTAAAACTAAAAAAAATTTTTAGTTATCAACTTACTTCAATACGTCATCAGTAAACCAATTACATGTTGAACTGGTGGAAAAAACCTATTTTCAAGTGAAAAAAATTAGAGGAGTGTCCTGTTTTACATTTTTTTCAAATACCTTTCATATTTGCATAATTGAAGGTAACTAGATTTTCACTGAAGGGTGTGTATCTTCTGCATTCAATCTGTTACCTTATGTTGTTTTGCTTAATATATGTAAAGAAATACAACCTCACATAGACATGTAGTTGTGAAAAGCTGGAGTATTTTGGTAGCCTTTTAAACAAATTTGGATATTCTTTTTTGGTTCAGCACTAAAACTCAACTAATGATAATTTACTAATAATTAGTTGAAATTTGGAATCTGAAAACATACTAGTGAACATTTCTTAATCTATAACATCCATCAGTGTATCTTTCAAATTGAATAGATATTTAACCATGCATAAATTTGTCATATCATGTTTTGATTATTTGGAAAAGACTGGTTCACTGATACATACTTTCCAGATGATGACAAGGTTTATTATACATTATCAAAGCATCACATTTATCAGTATCAACATGATGTCATCAAAATAGTTTGTAAGAGTTGGAACTATGTCACACAACTGTGGATATAAGTTTTCAAAAATTCTATTTTTTCACCAGAAAGCTCAAATTTTATCATTGGTGACAAATACTGTCAGTTCTTTTCCTTGAAGTGACAGCATCATTTTACTGATTTGTGAGGAAAATGTCTGCTAGATACCCAAGTCCTGAGTAACCATAATTTGCATGTCTGTCATCCTTTCAGGTAAAAATGGTATTCCATGAAAAAGTGGCTATTTCACCTCACAACTCAATGACACAAGTAATTCTCCTTAGGGCTCCCAATATATTTTCACCTGCCACAGAAATGCATTATATGCATTTCTCATTTAATCACACAGAATAATAAAAAATTATATTCAGGAATGATACTTGTTAAATCATTTTTGCTCCTTAAAGACAAAAATAAATAAAACAATTTTCTTTTAATGAATGTGCCTAGTGGTAAAGAAATGACTGCTTAGGACAGTTTTATACTGCTGTTTTCATTTGCATGAAGGCATCAGCAGTTTTACCTAATATTGCTTTTATACCATCAGTGAAAAATCACAGTAAAAAGGGCAAATAATGTATTTTATATTTTATTTTACTACTTTTTCTTGAGGTACAGGTGATGTACAATATTATGTAAATTTCAGGTGTACAACATAGTGATTCACAATTTTTAAAGGTTATATACTCCATAAAATATTGACCATATTCCTTGTGCTATACAGTAGGTCCTTGTGGCTTGTTTTATACCGAATAGTTTGTACCTCTTACTCCCCTACCCCTATATTGCCCCAGTCCACTTCTTTCTCCCTGTTAGTAACCACTAGCTTGTTCTCTTTATTTGTGAGTCTGCTTCCTCTATGTTATATTCACTAGTTGTATTTTTTAAGATTCCACATATAAGTAATATCATACAGTGTTTGTCTTTCTTTGTCTGACTTATTTCACTTGACATAATGCCCTCCATGTCCATCAATATTTCATGCTTTTTAATGGTGGAGTAGTATTCCATTGTGTGTATATATGTGTGTGTGTGTGTGTGTGTATGTATATATATACATACATACCCACACATACAAACAAATCTTCTTTATCCATTTGTATGTTGATAAACACTTAGGTTGCTTCCATGTCTTGGCTATTGCGAATAATGCTGCTATGAACATTAAGGTGCAAGTATATTTTAGAATTAGTGCTTTCATTTTTGTGGGTTATATACCCAGGAGTGAAATTGCTCGGTTACATGGTTGTTTTATTTTTAGTTTTTTGCAGAACCTCCGTAGTGTTTTCTATAGTGGCTGCACCAATTTACCTTCTCACAAACAGTGTACTAGGGTTTTCTTTTCTCAACATCCTCACCAGTATTTGTTATTTGTGGTCTATTTGATGACAGGCATTCTGACACATGTGAGGTGATATCTCATTGTGGTCCTGATTTACGTTTCTCTGATGATTAACGATGTTGAGCTTCTTTTCATGTGCTTGTTGGCTCTCTGTATATCTTCTTTGGAGAAGTATATATTCAGATCTTCTGCCCATTTTTAAATTGGGTTGTTTGGGTTTTTGTTTTTGATATTGAGTTGTATGAGCTGTTTGTATATTTGGATATTAACACTTTATGAGTCATATTATTTGTAAATATTTTCTTCCATTCAGCAGGTTGTCTTTTCGTTTTGGCAATGGTTTCCTTTGATGTTCAAAATCTTTTAAGTTTAATTAGGCCCCATTTGTTTACTTTTGCTTTTGTTTCTTCTGTCTTAAGAGACATCCAAAAAATATTGCTATGATATATGTCAAAGAGTGTTCTGCCTATGTTTTCACCTCGGAGTTTTATGGTTTCCAGTCATACAATTAATTCTTTAATCCATTTTGAGTTTATTTTTGTATATGGTGTTAGAAAGTGTTCTAATCCATTCTTTTACATGCAGCTGTCCTGTTTTCCCATCACCACTTATTGAAGAGACTGTCTTTTCTCCCTGGTACATTCTCGCCTCCTTTGCCATAGATTAATTGCATGGGTTTATTTGTGGGCTGTCTGTTCTGTTCGATCTTTGCCTCTGTTTTCATGCCAGTACCATGATGAGCTCTAGTAGTTTTCTAGTGGGGCCAGTCCCAGGGCAGGTGCTGGCCTGCTGGTGGGTGGCCTGGGACCACAGGCTTTGGGGCTGTGACTGTCCTGTGGTTGGTGTCTGCCCATTGGTGGGTGAGTCTGGTCCCAAGGCTAGAGCAGGACCCTGATGGGCAGGACTGGGGCTGCTGCCTGCCCACTGGTGGGTGGAGCTGTGTGCCAGTGTCTCTGGCTGCATAGTCCTGAGGGTCCCAGTTCTCGTGCCCGCACATTGATGTGGAGGGCCAGGTCCTGGGCCTCCTGGTGGACGGGGCCATATTAGTGGTGGCTGTGGGCTCGTAGAGTCTTAAAGCCGCCTACCTGCTGGTCAAGGGGGCTTTGTTCCTGCCCAGTTAGTTGGTTGGCTTGAGGTGCTCCAGTACTGATGTCTATAGCTGTTGGGTGAGGGCAGAGCTGGATCGTGAGGCTAGTTAGCCAGAGAGAGGATTCAAAAATGGTGCTTGCCAGCAACAGTGTCCACGTGATACAAGAAACTTCCCGAAATGGCTGCTGCCAGTGTCTTTGTCCCCAAGGTGACAGGGGTCTGTCCAGGATCAGCAGGTAGGTCTGACTCAGGCTCGTTTCAAATCACTGCTTCTACCCTGGGGTCCTGAAGCGTGTGCTATTTTGTGTGTGTCCTTTAAAAGTGGAGTCTCTATTTCCCCCCAGCCCTCTGGGACTTCTGAAAGTAAGCCCCCCTGGCCTTCTGGGAGCTCATCTTCCCAAAAAAGGACCTCCAGAGCCCAAATGGGGCTCAGATCCCTCACTCCTTGAGGAGAAGCTCTGTAATCATGATCATCCTCCCATTTGTGGGGCACCCGTCCAGGGGTGTGAGACTTCACTATAGTGCAACTCCATTCCTCTCACATCTTGCTGTGGTTCCTTCCATAAAAAACAACTTTAGAAAATCTTTAATTGTAGCAGATCTTTTCTGATGAGTTCTGGCCTTTTTTATTGATGCTTGCTCTGTAATTTTGGTGTGCATGTGAGAGGAGGTGAGCTCAGAGTCTTTCTACTCCACCATCTTGGCCACTCTCCCCCAAATAATGTATTTAAAAAGTATCTTTATGAAAACAATTTTGAACTAACAGGCTCATTGAAAGGGTCTTAGGAATCTTTAGGGATCTGTAGGCCACGTGTCCAAATAAAGAGACTGATTCAGAGTGGTAGAATGCTTTTCACTGAGCCATTTTGAAAAGATTTTACTTTGGCTGTGTTCTTGGACAGTGACCTTTTTAAATAGCATATTTTGTGATTATTCTGTAGGAATTAAAATAATAGGCAATTTGCTTCCAGAATTTCTTTTCAAGTTACCTGTTTCAACTCATCTCGACACCAAAGTGAAAGGAGCCAAAATGTTTTCAAGTCTTATAGACATTTTATTTTTCAGTGGTAACATAATGATTATTTTTGTTTGTTTGTTTTCTTAGAAAGCCTACTGGTTTGGACAATCTAAAAGCATTAGGAAAAAAGATGATGTCAAAGTTACTAATGTATTTAAAAGTCGTTATTTTGAAGATGAACCTGTTGATTTGGTGGCTGGTATAAGGATCCAACATTTGTACAAGGTATTTACAGGTCTCTTTGCCGCTGTACTACTGAAAATTAATTTATAATGCATAGTAAGTGTCTGTCACTGGCCATAACCCTATCCTCATATGATGTTAATAAAAGGCTATCGTCAGTATATTTATTATTTAATAAGATAAAAATAAAACTCATGCAAATAAAATAAAAATCCATGTTTTCCTCTCTCTAGAATAGAATTCATCTCTGTATAGATAATAAAGGTGTTTTTTACAATTCTATTGTAAGAGCTAATTTCTAGTTGGAACTGGGATGATCTGATATGTGAATATAAATTTGTGTTCACCATTGTGGTTTTACTTGTTCTACAAGTTATATATAAGGCTACTTGGCTACATTTCCCTTTTTCCAAGTATTTGCAAAGGAGGTAATCTTAGACATATCAGTTTATTTGGATAAACTGCAGGCATGATTATTCAGGTAACCCAAATGTCTGCTGGCATTCTCTTGTGCCTCAAGGAAATATTCATCTTTTTTTTTTAATTGAAGTGTAGTTGGTTTACAATGTTGTGTTAATTTCTGGTGTACAGCATAGTGATTCAGATATATATATATATTTCTCCTCATAATATTTTTCATTATAAGCTATTAAAAGATATCGAATATAGTCCCTGTACTATACAGTAGGACCTTGTTGTTTGTCTGTTTGATGTACGATAATATCTGCAAATCCAGATCTCCCACTTTATTCCTTCATCTCCCTTTCCCCCATGTCAGATAACCAAAAGTTTGTTTTCTATGTCCATGAGTCTGTTTCTGTTTTGTAAATAAGTTCATTTGCTTCACTTTTTTTTTCAGGTTCTACATGTAAGTGATATCATATGGTATTTTTTCTTTCTCTTTCTGGTTTATTTTGCTTAGTATGACAATCTCCAGGTTCATTCATGTTGCTGCAAATGGCATTATTTTATTCTTTTTTGTGGCTGAGCAGTATTTCAATATATATGTATATACACATACACACACACACACACACTCCCCCCACAACTTCTTTATTCAGTCATCTGTCAATGGACATTTAGGTTGCTTCCGTGTCTTGGCTATTGTAAGTAGTGCTGCTATGACTACTGGGGTGCATCTACCTTTTTGAATTAGAGTTTCCTCTGGATATATGCCCAAGAATGGAATTGCTGGATCATATAGTAAGTCTATTTTTAGTTTTTAAAAGAATCTCCATACTGTTTTCCACAGTGGCTGCACCAAACTGTATTCCCACCAGCAGTGTAGAAGGGTTCCCTTTTCTCCACATCCTCTCCAGCATTTATCATTTGTGGACTTTGTTTTTTAATTCTTATTTTTTATTGAAGTGTAGTTTATTTACAATGTTAGTTTAAGATGTATAGCAAAGAGATTCAGTTATGCATATATATACATTTTTTTCAGATTCTTTTCTTTTGCTTTTTAACATTTTTTTTATTGAGTTATAGTCATTTTACAATGTTGTGTCAAATTCCAGTGTAGAGCACATTTTTCCATTATACATGAACATACATATATTCATTGTCACATTTTTTTTCGCTGTGCGCTACCACAAGATCTTGTATATATTTCCCTGTGCTATATATATCGTTTGTGGACTTTTTAATGATTGCCATTCTGACTGGTGTGAGGTGATACCTCACTATAGTTTTGATTTGCATTTCTCTGATAATTAGGATATTGAGTGTTTTTCATGTTCCTATTAGCCGTTTATATGTCTGCATTGGAGACATGTTTGTTTAGGTCTTCTGCCTATTTTTGGATTGGGTTCTTTGTTTTTTGTTATTGAGTTGTACGGTCTGTTTGTATATTCTTGAAATTAAGCCCTTGTTGGTCACATTGTTTGCATATATTTTCTACCATTCCGTAGGTTGTCTTTTTGTTTTCCTTAGCTTGCAAAAGCTTTTCAGTTTAATTAGGTCCTGTTTGTTTATTTTTGCTTTTATTTCTATTGCCTTAGTAGACTGCCCTAGGAGAACATTGCTAATATTTATGTCAGATAATGTTTTGCCTATGTTTTCTTCTAGGAGATTTA